AGGCCTGTTTACCTGGCCATAAACTCACACAACCTGCAAACTTCCCATGAAACACATCTTCTTGTTTTACTGGACTGGATAAATCTACATTTATCTGGTGGTGGTTGAGGAGATTCCCCCTTTCTATGTAAAGCGCTTTGAGTGCCCAGAAAAGGAAGGAATTATTACATTCAAGTGAGTAAAATGCCTAAAATATTTTTTCTGTGATTAGTAATGTCTAGATCGTGTAGATATTAAGGTATTGTTGAATGCATTAATCATTTTAAATTTTGAGCTTATGTCAGTGTTGTAATTTTACAACACTGGGTTAAATGGGTAGCAAAATTTGCCTGTGCACCTTACACATTACATGGATGAATTGTGCTTCTCACTTGTTCCATGTGAAAAAATAATACTAGAAACATACTGTTTTTGATCATTCACAAGTTTTAAATTTATTTTTTGTTACCATTTTGAGATTCAATCAAGATTTTATGATAATTAAATAAGTTCAAGTTGAAGAATAAATTATTTCTTTGAAAATTTTAAAGTATTTTTGAAGCAATATTTTAAACTATTTGTATCTTATCATTTATAAAATGTCCTGTTGTTTTTTCTAGACGTTGCTTGTTTGCCCTAATATCTGCTTGCTGCATGAGGGACAGGTGATAATGTTCTGGAATGTGGGAGGTATCGGTGCTATTAGCATGATAACTAAAGGACACAATAAGCTATCAGACAGTATTGTGTGAATTCTGTGGAATGGGTGAATTCTGTGAATGGGTGAATTCTTTAAAAGGTGTAAGTATATTGGGGTTAATTTGCACTGATATTTTTAGCCTGGAAATAATCTTTTTTTTTTTTTTTTTTCATTTTAGAATGTCACCAGCCAAGAAAGACTGTCTCATCATATGTGTGATATCACTGTTACCATGCAAAATGGGAAAAGTGACTTTGAGATGGACTCTGATACAAGAGAAGAAAGTTTTAATGTCAAGTCATGATGAATGTTTTAAAGCTTTCATTCAGTTCATCAGGTTCCCTTTCAAGGGAACTTCGAACTGCGTCCTCTAGGGGTCGCTATGGGGAATGCCTCGTCGTGACCCGTGTCTGAAGCATACATTCAAAAAACACCAACAACATGTTGGCCGTCGACAGCCCATGACGTCACTACCAGTGCGACTATAGTATAAATAAGCGCCAGTAGAACACGTCGTTCTCTTCTTCGTCTTCACTGATTGTTTTGTTTGAAGCGTGCATTCCGTGGTAAGAGCGATCTTTCTTCCTTCATTATGGCGAGCACTAGGATGATGTTATTTCCCTAACATCGTCTGATCCAGGGGCCAGTGCTCTGCTGGGTTCGGCCCAGGAAGAGCAGGAGATGTCTGAGGAGGGCGAAGAGTCTGAGGCTGAGCCCTCCCAATCCTCCTGCCCTGCGTATGATGAGCTATTGGAGGTTATGGATCACGCCACGGCGAGGCTTGACTTGCTGTGGAAGCGGGCCAAGAAAGTGACGTTGCGAGGTTGTCTCGATGAGTGTTATCTTTCTGACCATAGCCCTCCAGCTCAGGTGAGCCTTCCTTTTCTTCCTGATCTCCATACAGAGATCGAGAAGGAATGGAAGAGGCCGTTTTCCTCACGCATCCATCGGTTTTCCGGGCATCTCTGAGCAGATGCTTGGGAAGCTCTTAACTCCATGCTATGGTAAGTGCACACGCTAAGCTTTGTGCACTTTCTGAAATCCACATGGTGGTAAATGTGCACGCTGAGCACTTTGCGCACTTTCTAAAATTCACATAGTGGTAAGTGTGCACGCTAAGACTCTGCGCACTTTCTGAAATCCTGTATGGTAAGGGTTACGCGTTATTAGCCTCGTTCCCTTTCTCTGAGTTGGTTTAGACCCCGGTACCTTGGGC